AGTGTGGGAATCTACAAGATGATCCTTGTGGTATGGTTGCCTTGAGATGAGATCAAGGGTCTGCTTTCATTAAATATAGTCAGGTCAGTTGATTGTTTCAGGTGATCAGGGAAGTGAATTGGGAAGGACAATTTTTGTTGTCTCTGATGTCTCCCAACTATGAGAATGATGCCTCTTATATTTAAGAATGATTCATGTGATGAATTGATGATTAGGTATTTGCAGACGAGGTGTGTGGTAGTCCATTTGTTTCTAGATAGAGAATCGGTGTGATGAATGGCTAGAATTATTGTGTGTGGATCTCCATGGGATTTTTTATGTTAGAGGTGGTTATGATTGGGGAGTTTCCAAGGTCTCCATCTGAGATTTGGAATCTCTTTGAGTTTGGTTGCTCTTTATCTAGAAGATCATATTATGTTGTGTTATACATTCCAAGGTTCTGGGATGTTATGTATCTGGTTGAGCCGGTTTGAAATTTGGTTTGTTTGCAACGTCAATTGGTGGTAGTTCGAACCTTAAGTGGGGGAGAAGCTGATATTCTTCTTAGAGGACCATCGATCTGTTCAAGATTATGATTTCAGAAGAATGGGTCATAGAGATCTACGGTTCGGGTATGCGAGACTTTGGTTCAATATTGGTCAATACGGGGCACATAGTAGGTTTCTATTAGATATATATGCTTAGGAATGCATGAGTTATCTTCGCTGTAGAAAGATGTGGATAAGGAGATCGTAGTAGATAGTAGTTCCTTTTGGGAAGGCCAATGAATAGGTTAAGAGACGTTTAGATCGCTCAGGTTGAGTATCGGTTTTTGAGGGATTTGTCAACCCGTTGTATAGTTTGTTATCCATAGTCTAGGCTGAGCAGTTGTTGATCGGTAAATCAACTTCAGAATTTGGTATATTTAGTTTCACATGGGTTCTATTCAGTAGTGTATTGGGTCATTAGATTAGTTGTCAATGCATTCTCGATCGTTGGTCATTTCCTTCATTGTTAGTAGCCGAGGTTCTTCGAAAGTTTCAAGCTTTATCTATTGAAGTTCAATGGATGTGTCAACCTATCATAAAATCTTTACATTGTACATTTTGTTTCTGGGTATGGATACCCTTAATTGTTGGTTATGGAAGTATTGTTCATAGCGGGCTCAGGTTTGGAAACTGTCCATGGTTATTGGGAGTTCGGACGTTGGAGAGGTGTTCTTTAGCTTTTCAGGTGTGGCTTTGGGCCTGCGTAGGATCCAATTTTGACACGTCGTATCGACAAGGTTGGTATTTGGATTGATCTGACCAGGGTTTTAGCAACAAATCTGGATAATTTTGGAAGTTTTATCGAGCTAGTTACGTATTAGTGGGATTTGTTCATTTTCAATCGAAGTGTGGGATCTTGTATCGGTCGCTCATGAGGACTTTTCTGCTAACGATTGAGGTTCGTCATTTTTTTAGATCTATTGGTACCTCTCCCTTTGAGTATGGTTATGAGGAAGAAGGAATGCACTAGACGTAGGATTGGTTTTGGGTCCTCTTAAGGGTGTGCATTGTAGTAAGTTCATTAGATATTGTCGGGAGGGGTGTATATGGACTAAACAAGATAGCAAAGGAGCAATTGGTTCGCATTTATTGGTATGGTTCTTAATTAGTTTGTAGCCTTTAAATTGGAATAAGAGTACGACCTCCGATCTCATTCTCTAATTGTGTGCAACCATATTTTCTTCCGATATTGTGTTGTAGCAGACTGTATTGTGAAAGGTATTGTGCACGATAGAAGAGTATGGACCATGATGTGTTTGGTTAGTGTTGAGAGGGATGTTTATTAGGTTCCTGCAAGTCAATGGTTTGATGGTTGAGTATCCTTAGGCCCCCGTGGTGCTGGTCGTGAGTCTTTAGGCCAGTAAAGGAATGACGGCAGGATTGGCGTAGTACCGGGAGCTTGTCGTTTTAGTGGTTAGGAGGTGTCACGATGTATTGTGAACCAGTGGTTGTATGATTCATATGAGTAGGACCCAATAGTCATTTGATTGAGACTCTTTGGTCTAGGATCGTTAGTTTTATTGGCATGTTTGGGTGTTAGTGCATTGTTGAGAGTCAGGAGACTCAATGACTAACTTGTTTGGATCATGTGGACTGTAAAACGTTTCTTGGGAGTATTAAATTTGCATCAAAAGTCTCCTGCTGAATGTTTGCGTTATGAACCTTATTTTTCCTGTGGTCTGTTTGTTGGGAGTTTGGTTACCCATGTCGTATATTGGTTCTCAAATCTCGAGTCATAAAGTTCGTGTAAACGCCTCGAGTGATTTTTCAGGTGGATGCGCACCTGAGCTGGTAAGGGATTTGGATGCAACATGAGAATTATTGGATTGACCATCCTTATGCCCATGAAGTCAGTGGATTGGTGGTGACTTGTCAGGAATTCAACAATATATTTAAGGTTTTTAGGCATAGTTTCCGGATTTGCGATTAAGTGAAATTCATGGTCAGGATGTTTGAGTATTCTTTCTACATGATTTGGTGGTGTTCCTAGTCAGGGAACTTGGGGTTGGTATGATGAATGGATGATCATCAGACTTAGGGTATGGTTTCTGAAGTTTAGACTGATGGGTTCCTGGTTCCGGGAAATATATTGATGGAATTGGTTTGTGTTTGTGGTTTTGAGAGTTTTCGGTTTGATTGGTTCTCACTGGAAGTTGGCTCTTCAGTTAGGGAGAGAAAGATAGGCATTGTGGTTAAGTATTTTCAAGTTTTTGGGTTGTTTGTTGGCAGCTATGGGTTTTCGAGTGGTCTCTTGAGTTTGATTTATAAGATGCATTGATTTCAAAGTGGTTAGAGGAAGCTTATGGAATGTGTTGGCGTTGTTTTTAGAGATCCTAACCAAGACGGATTTCGAAGATGAAATTCAGTTTATGTGGGGGAGAGTTGTAACATCCTGTTTCAAGAAGTTTCTTATTCTGAGATGGTTCGAATGTTAGTAAATCTGCGAGAGCAAGCAGTATAGCAGGGAACGGATCGCGGTATTCTCGGGTTTCTTCATTTCACATGAATTTCGTCTCATTATACCGTGGGTCGAAGGCACCAATGTTGGCCCACTAGTTTTCGGTTATTATTAGTAGAGGGATGTCTTAGGGACTGTATATAGTCACGTAGGATAGACCGAGGACTCTTGATCTAGGCCCTCTTACATGTTCCTTGTTTGGTTATGGTTATAGGGTAGGATCATCTGTCCGAGTGGCTATCTCACCTCTTATACAGTCATATATTTCTTAGATTGTTGCTACTTAGTATGTCGTTGTGCTATAGTGATCTGTTAGATCTATATTCCGGTAACGAGTATGTTGATACGTTGTGGTGATCTGTTAGATCTATTTTCGGGTGTCGAGTATGTTGCTATGTTGTACTGATCTGCTAGATCTGTATTCTGGTATTGAGTATATTGTAATGATGTAGTGATCTGTTATCGGTATCGTGGTATGTAGGATGTTGCTATGCTATAGTGCACTGTTGGATCTGTATGTTATCTGTACTTACTGGTTATCATCTGTTGGAGTGCCCTAAGGACTGTATGTAGTTATGTAGGATAGCCTGAGAAGTCTTGGTTTAAGCTCTCTTGTTTGTTCCTTGTTTGGTTGTGACTCTAGAGTAGGATCATATGTCTGGGTGGCCATCTCACCTCTGGCTACTTATGCTTACGCATTTTATGGAGGTTACCTGGTAGTGGGACTGTGTGCTGTGAGAGGACTAGTAGGCGGGAGTGAGTTGTATGATTGTTTTTCCTGTTTTATGTGCCTACTTGATCCTAGTTTGTTTATATGTCGGCATATGGTGGTGGTGGGTTGAGGCGGTCCTGCTTTGAGCTGTAGGCCAAGATACCCTGTGCGGACCGGCTATAAGCCGAAGGCACAGAGGCTCGGGAGGATCGGTTGGGTTGAGGAGGTAGTCCAACAAACCCTGGTATTCTGGAGGACGGTCCAGACTGGTTAAACGCCCGGTGAGGCGGTCCAATCATGTTGAAGGTTCTGTGAGCGGTCCAGATAGTCTGTAGGCCGACGCGGTTTTCCAGTCAGGCTGAAGGCTCTGTATGCATGTTGTTGTTTATTATGTGTATTTGGTGGTATTTTGGGGGAAACTCACTAAGCTTTATGCTTATCCAGTTGTTTATGGTTTCAGGTATCATCCGTGATAGCGGGAAGGCGAAGGCTGGACTGTACACACTCATCAGCAACATTGAAGATTCAGCGTTTTCTATGATACTCTGATTTTTAATAAATGTAATTTGGAATAAATGGTTTTCTTAAATAATGGATTTATAAATTGAAAAGTTTTACCTTAATAAACTAAAAAAAAATTGTTTTGAAAATGGGATGTTAGATTAGTGTTGTCGACGGTAAACATAACGATGAAGACATAGTGAAAAATATCATATATGTAAGTTTTGATATATTAAGTATGTATGGCTTTTTATAAGCATGTACAAAGTCATATAAACAATTTCATAATACCTTATCATACTAGGATCAAGGTATGTATGCATTTATGACCCCTGTATCCAAAGCTACCAAAATTAATTGTTAAACAATGATTAATATCATGTAAATAAAGAAGCCTCCAAATTGGTTTTTTCAATATCATAGCAATTAAAATTTATTCAAGTAGATTAATCATCCTTTAAAATAAGCAAAACCACAAATCAAAACCACATTTCAAAGACGTGCATATCACATCAGACATAAGTTGATACAAATCAGACGACACACATATAAGTTGATACAAATCAGACGACACACACATAAGTTGATACAAATCAGACGACATATAGATAAACAACTACATATATGATTACACAATTACACACACATAAAGATTAGCTCACATACACATACAAATCACAGTAGGTCTCGGTCTGTAACGCCTAATTGAAATAAGTATAGTGAAGATGGAGATACCTTCTAAAAACAATGTAATTGTTTTTTCACTAGTCTCAATTATTCTATTTCTCTATTTATAATGTATGGTCCTCTTACACTTCCCCAGCAAAACAAAGAAAAAACAACTATTTAGTTGATCACATAAATTGCATCGAACACCTATAAGTACAAAATTTTACTTACATAATAGTGCTTAGTAAGCAAAAGTTATTAAAAATCATTAGGATGACATAGATTATTAATGGCAGGGATGGTTGTCTTATGCTGACTTTCAACAGATGATGCTTCATCAAGCTTCATTTGCTTCACTCTCTACAGGTAAAAACAATGTTTTCATATATTAAATATTCAAGAAACTGAAGTAGGTGATCAATGTAATAATAAACTAAATGCATACTCTAACAAACATTTGTGTACTTCATAACTCATGTTAATGAACCAATTTCTAGCTGAGTTAAACAAAAAAGCTAAGTTTACAAAGTAACCGAATCTTGTGATGGTCGCCTATACAAAAATTCTGCAAATGACAAAAAAGTTAAATTAAATGTCAGGGTTCATGGTTAATACCTTGTTAAAGTGCTCGATTGGTGGGGTATTTTGAGATCTTTTTCAGTTTTAAAAATTAAATGTCTGATAAATTAAAATATTTGTTTACTATTAATGATATTATTAAAGGAATAAATAACTGAAAAATAGAATGCTACCATAACTGTTGTTGTCTCCCTCTTGCTACTTCTAAAAAGTTCTAGATCTCCTTTACTTGAAAATATCTGCAAATCAGATTAATGGTGCCTTATTTTCTAATTAATTGAATAATTGTATTATACATGAATAAAAATAATTACTTTTTTTTGTTGAGGGGTAGTGTTTTAAATCTTGAAATTGTTTCACGTTCTTTTTGTTTACTTTTCTGTTGCAAAGGAAAATCAAGCCTTTTGTGGTTGTGTTAACATGATACAATTTTTTAATCACATAATTTTTATATTTGTTGGATATTTCAAAAATAGTAATTCTAATTATTCTCTTTTTATTTATATATAAAAAATAAAGATATGATATGCTTTCTACCTTTAAGTTGATGTAGTATGATGAAATTGATGGAACTGCAACAGTGTTTTCTGCAGCTCCCGCTTGTGCAGCTCTCTCTGGTGTGTTGAGGTCAAATTCCTGGTTGCAGCAACCAGTTATATAACCATCTGCAAAATCTTTTCTTACAATATGCGAAACGGGAACCATGTGTCCTAACCACAGTTGTCGGCTTATACACAGATCTTTTATATTTGAAAGGCAGTGATTATATATATATATATATATATATATGAGTACCAGAAAACATATCATTTAAATTCAGTGGGGTTTTTTTTAGCAATTTAAGCAACAATGTTTTATTTTATACAGATTTATGCAGTGATGCTTCACCTTTTTACCAATCAATGCAACTAACACATCATGTCACCACTTTTCAACCAACTAAACAAAAAACTGGTAAAATATTTGCATAAATTAGGAAAATTGATTTACTCCAAGATATAAAAGAAAATATATCATCAAAAATATCCCACACACCTTTTCAAATCTTTCGGGCATAATGGTCAAGTCACCTTTTTTCGCTGTCTCAAAGGTCTTCTTACCAAAGGCTCTATAGTCACAAACCACCGGTTGCTCATCAAAGGCTCTATAATCAGATTTATGAAAACAAATTACCATAAAACCCAATAGCCAATGAATAAAAAGATCAAGAAAATAAAAAAGTAAAAAAAAAAAAAAATAGAATTCACTTCTCCACCTCTCTGAGATCGTAGGAAGCACAAATTATTGTTGGTTTTATTGGACACGGGAAGACTTTCATTATGTTAATAATTTTTTTGGTGTGTTTCCTTACTTTTTTACAGTTTTTATACATAACATTCAACAGATTAAGTTTGATTTTAAAACATTTCAAAATATATGATAATATGCACCTGGTTCCATTCAAATCCACGGTAAAGAACTACAAGTCTTTCCAGTAATGGAGAATATATCTTCTTCATTTGTCTCCTTTCATACCAAGCTGCAGAAGCGTACATATGTAAGTAAGAGAAATGAGGGGTATAATGGTAAATGGAAACTCAAGGGTAGACTGGTCACAATAAGGTAACTTTTTTTAATCTACAGAACAAATCATGGATAGGGGTTCCAGTTTCTTCAGACAATGACCACGAAAGTACAGATGCAAGAGAAGACACATTTGTTAAACTTTGCCCCAGAATGATCATGTTACACATATTTAACATCTGTTGCAAATTGTAGATACGAAACATGTGAATAAAAAGTAAGCAATTGATATTTTCACCCTGAGACAAAAAAAAATTAACAGAGATCTACAATTCTCTTTTACGTAATTCCCGAAATTCATAAAAATGTGTGAATGCATACCTGATGGAGGATGAATTTTGGTAACTTCCCGTATTATATCATTAATCTTCCCAAAACCCAATCCATTATCAGAACCAACATGTAAGGAGATAATCTTTTACCAAGAAATAATAGAGAACAAAAAATATCACATGAATTGACTGCTATCAAATTTCAAAATCAAATGAAATATGAAGCTTCGACTAACCTAGATGTGCTGAATTTTAGTTCACATCTCAACAATAATTCATAGGATGAAACTTTGATAGGTTGAAGACAATAAAATATCGAATCGATTGCTCAAATTTATAGGGTGTGTCTGTGATTTCTGTTCATACCTTAGCTTTCATTTTCTTCACAAATCATAAATATGAGCAAAAGGTCCTCTCCTTTTAGATTTGAAGATGTTCAGAACGACAAACCCAAACATGACTGAAGTTTAGCGGGGTAGGAATCAAAAAGGCATAATTAAAATGTTAACCCAAATCAACAATCACCTAAGGTAGTTTTTCGGGGTGGGGATCAAAGAGCTTATCGAAGCTGAGGATACTATGACTTTACAGGTGGACGAAGAAGGGTGAGCGGAAGTGCAACAATGCTGAACAGAAAAGGAGTGGGAGATAAATATGATTAAAGGAGACGGATGTCATCTGATTTGTGTAGAAACGTCAATATCGTGTGAAGCAACCCAAAACGCCAACAATAAATGATGGTGGATGTGACTGGAAGTGGTGGGAGGGGGAGACAAAAGATGGAAATAAATCAGGGTGCCTAGCAGGAGAGGTGGGTTGGGGAAAGTGGTGGCTGATTTGGGGATATGGGGTGAAGGAAACTGCTTGATGACAAAAGCAAAGACCGGTGAGAAGGAATAGGAGGTGGAGTGCTTATCTAAAGAATCGACAAGCATCGAATCGAGTCGGTGATGGAAGCTACAATATTTGAGGCGGTGGATAGGTACCAAAGTCAGGAAGTAAATAACCCAAGGAACGTGGTGGGTACTGTTTCATAACACGGGAAGGAGAGGGAGGGAAGTTTCCCTCACTTTTTGTGGGTCATATATTTCCCTCACGTTTCTTTCCCCCACCTAAAACCCAAGCTCATCTAAGACCCAAGAAATGGGTGGGAAGTCCTTCCCTCACTTTTTTTTTATTAAATAAAATTAATTTTTTTGTTATGAATTATAATTTTTAAATTAATACTAAACATAAAATTTAATTAAAAATAAAAAGCATTTCATTAATTAAAATAAAACTTACATTAAACCTAAAATTTAAAAAAATAGAAAATTAAAAAAAACACACACACACAAACTAAAAATCAAATTAACCAACAACAACCTACGAAAAATATTTTTTCAGAATTTTTTCTCTCTTCTTCATCACGAGCTCGAGAGCCGGTCCCGAGAGATGATCGATGTTTTCCATCAAAAATTTCATGTCCTCCATTTCTTGTCTTTCCGCCCGCTCCTTTTTCCTTGTTTCTTCTTTTTCTTTGTCGAAAGCCAAACGTTCGGAGAAATTTAGAT